AGCAGTGGGAAAAGACTTGAAAATGAAACCGTACGTGAAACCTGTCAGGTACATCGTTACTCCAGGACAAAAAGTTAGAAGGTTAGAGAGGGCGATGATCATCTTAAATAAGTTGGTAAATGATCCTCGAAATATATATATATATATATATATATATATATATATATATATATGTATATAAATAAAAGAAAGAACAGTAAGATATAAAATCCGGTGTTCTTATAGATATTTTTATTTTTACAAAAAGTGTTCAATATATATATATAAATAGTGCTCAATGTATATATATATATATATATATATATATATATATATATATATATATATATGAACTTTTATACCAATCCTTCATGAGCTTCAGATCCTTAGCTATGATTAATTAATGATGAACATGTCATTTTTGTTATTACCGATTTCATCACGATTCTTCTGTTAATCTTGTAGATTAATTTTATATTCTTATTATTGCTCAAAGTAAAATCCAATAGTGTTATAAAAACCCCGGAAAATTCCGGTAAGATATCTTTAATCATTTCTAAGATACACCGGTTCAAAACTTAAGTTAGCAAATGGACAATTTTGCTGGTATATGATTTGGATAATTTTGCTGTTACACCCAGTATAATTCATTTATGATGTCTTTAATCTTGTCAATGCCCGAAGTCTAAGTTTGCCAGCATTTCTGTTAAGATTCTGATGTCTTCTGATTTTGTTTTATTAATTTGGCCATTGCTGATTCCACTTCAAACTTCAATATTTTTGTGTCCCCCTCCTTATTTTTCGTATCTGAAGTATCTGTTCTTTTTCTTATATCATCTCGCCGTCTTTGGATTTTATATATCTTGCCAATGTTGATGTATTTTGTCCTGTTAGTTCACTTATTTTTTATGCGTATTTCCTTCATCGGTGATACAAATTCTTTCTATTTCTCTACATTTCTTCGTTCAGCCATTCCTTTTTAGCTTGCCTGCATTTATTCCTAATTTCTATGTGCAGAGTCCTATGTTCTGTGACGTACCTTGGCCCTGTTTTTTGTCTTCTTTTTCATCATGTCGAGAATTTCATCTGGCATCTATTCTGTTTTTTCCGTTTCCATTGCAGATGTTACTAAAGTTTCTCTTAATGTGTCTCACTTCGTGTTTCTATTCTCAATTTTGTCCATTCTGTCTACTTTTAACACTGTCCATATATTTGTCTTTGACATTCAGGTCAATCAGAAATCTGTCGTATTACAATTTCGGGGCTGCCGTAGCACTCTTCAAATTTCATTCTAAGTTTATATATCACTGGAAGGTGATCGCTCCCACAGTCAGCAGTTGGATATGTCTTGCAGTGTAAAACTGCACTTTTCAATTTCTTATTGACAGTTATATAATCGATTTAGTTTTTCGTCTATATTCCTGGGCTTCTCTATGTCTATATGCGTCTTGGGTATTCTAGAAAACAGATGTTGTCTACTCATTCGCCGGGTACATATGCACATAGGACCACCCACGTCTACGATGGTCCACAACGAGGTCTTACCGGATATTAGTCTTAAGAAAAACTTACCACTAAGCTAAGTCTGTCATAAGGCCATCGAGAACTGAGATCACGTTTCAATGACAAATAAAAAAAAAACTCTGATACTATACAGTGGGAAGGAGTAAGTTAACACCTTTGTGTTTGGGAGCCAACATTTGTGTCTCAGATCTTTATGGAATTCTATGCAGCACTTTCGATTCTTTTAATTCCATAGATTGTCGCAGATGTGAAGCTACATATTGGAAAATTAAAATCTGGTTTGTGTCATAACAAACGGCGGAAAATATGACATAAAAATTAGAAGACGCAGAGGAATAGCGAATGATGCCTTTCAGAAACTAAGAAGAGTATTAAGATATGAGAAAATGACGTTCGGAAAAAATAAATTGCTGAACTTCTATGTCGCATTTACTCATCTATTCGGGGAAATACCTTAACAAGAGACTTGGAGCAATAGAAATGCGATTATAACGAGAGATTCTGAGAATACCATGGACTTAGCATTTGAACAACGAAGAAGTTTTATTTATTATTTCATGTCACTATCGACTATTTTTCCAAACTCCATTCTTTATGCTCTTTGGCAATTTGAATGTTTCCGTTTTTTGAGTCACATATCTCATGATTGCTAATTCTTTTAGGCAATTTCTTTTAATGTTGATTACCCTTATTTTCAAACACATCATTTCTTATATTCACAACAATCATTTTCATTGAAGATTATTCAATGTAGCTACATGATGGCTTTCCATAGTTGCCCACATCTAGACCTATCCATAGAGCCACCAGTTATGACCTTGTGTCACATCTCGTCAACGAGAGTGGGAGCACAGGTAAATAACTAGCCACCAATTATATCTCAGATAATGAGATATTTCACAACATTTTATTATGTTGTGGCAAACACTCAATATATTCAAAGGAATATATTGAGTGTTTGCCACAATTTCTCCCTCGTGCTAGGATCTGGTAAGTTCGTTTGTAACTGCAGAATCTCAGTATTGCGTCGTATCCTAACGGTCCAGGTTCAATTCCCAGTAGTAGATGCGCACTGCTGATGAGTCCCCAAAATAGGACGAAACGGCCGTCCAGTGCTTTCTGCATTCTGTTGAGGATTCTTCAAAGACTCAATGAATTACTTAATTATGATTATCCCAAATCCTCCTTATAATTTCTATATTAATCTTTTTCTATAAGGCTTCTAATGCTCTGGATGGAGCGGCTTGGGAATACAAGACGTGACTCGTGGAGGCACAGTACTTTGGTATAAATTGATTTGATGAGTCACACAACGGAATTTGTGAAGAGCAGGCGCTATATTGAGTCTAGTTTGTCACCTTATCGTTACCGAGACCCATAGGTCTAGTGAGTATGACGCTTATGTCATATCGTAACGGTCCGGGTTTGGTAGTGGATGTGGGTTGCTGCTGATTCCCCAAAATGGGACAAAACGGACGTTTAGTTTTCTGCATTCTGTTGAGGATTCTTCTAGACTCAACGAATTACTTAATTATGATTATTACTTAATTATGATTATTCAAAACCCTAATAATAATATATATATATATATATATATATATATATATATATATATATATATATATATATATAAGTTAAGTTATGAAGAACTTGGTAAACTGAATTGGTAAATCCAAGGAGGATGAAATCCTGAGAGCTCAATGTGAAGAACAAGCTAATATTTAATGAAAGACAGACCACTTTAAGGTACCATTACAATAATTTATTTCACCCAAATTCCTTTTAAAAGGATTCGGATCATCAGGTAACACTTCCAACAATCAGTGTTACCTGATGATCCGGAACTTTAAAAAGGAATTTGTGAAATAAATTATTGTAATTGTACCTTAAAGTGCTCTCTTTCATTAAATTTATATATATATATATATATATATATATATATATATATATATATATATATATATATATATATATTGCTTCTGATGCTCTGGATGGAGCGCCTTGGGGATAGAAGACGTGACTCGTTGGGGGGCACAGTCCTTTGCATGAGTTCACGACGGAATTTGTGAAGAGCGGCGTTATATCGCGTCTAATCAGTTACCTCTTCGTCACCGAGACCCGTTGGTCCAGTGGGTATAATAGTAACGGTCCGGGTTCGATTCTCGGTAGTGGATGCGGAATGCTGATGATTCCCCAAAATAGGACACAACCTAGCCGTCTAGTTCTTTCTGCATTCTGTTGAAAATTCTTCTAAACTCGAAGAATTACTTAATTACGATTATCCCAAATCCTCCTAATAATTTCAATCTCAGTATTCTTATTTCCTATTGAAGGCTTTGACTATATCTTTCCACCAAACTACCTGGAGGGACGGGTGGGTCTAATAGGATAAAGTGCTGAGTTCGAATTCCACTCGAGTTGGTAACATTAACTTACGTGAAATTAAACTTGGGGAAGGTATGAATCCATATTTTCCCTAGCTAGGAGTTAGATACATTTTGGGTAAAAGTCATTTGTTATCTCCAAATAGTTGTTTATGCAATATTCTTAGAACGAAAAATATGTTTCTGCTTAAATAACCCACAAACGATTGATAAACCGTCATTACTCGTCGACCAAACCCATATAATATTTTGCTGAATACTAACCAATTTAATTATATAACATTTTCAGACATAGTATCCTACATTCTGACACTTCTTACTTTAGCTGTCCCTTTAATTCAGAGAGGATGGTACTCTCCATCAACTTTTTTCTACCGTACCTTCAACCATTAAACAGAAAGATGTTAAATTTCAGCTTGACACTCCTTGTCAATTGAAACAATTTTTCTAAGCTCCAGCCTCTATTCACTTCAGATAATGGGGATGAGTGATCGTAAATCTAAGATATTTTTTGTGACCCCAATTGTGTTAGACAAAGTTTTTTAGGATATTTTTTAACTTACATATGCACAACCAGTAATTAATCAGTAAATATCGGTAGGGGTATCTAATTAATATTGTCTTTATATTTGTTGTTATTGATTCCTACACAAAGAAGGGCACAGGAGAGCCAGACTTCTGAAAGAATCCGTGTATATTCTAGACTGTGAGCGCCCAATTAGTAGGCCTAGCATAGAAATAAATACGATATATTATTAAGAAATTAATGAAATGACAGCAAGGCCTACACATCAACAGTAAGTGAAGATTTAATGAAGCATGAGGGTCTGATTAAAAAGGTTTACATAGAAATAAACACGATATAGGAGCCTTTATTAAGTAAATAAAAAATGACAGCAAAGCTTAAACAGCAGCAGTAAGAGAAGTTCCGATGAAGTATGTGGGCCCAATTAAAAGATTTTAATACAAATAAATAAGATATAGAAGGCGTTATTAAGTAAATAAAAGAAATGACAGCAAGGCTTAAACAGCAGTAGTCAGAGAAGCCTCGATGAAATATGAACATCCGATTAATAGGTCTACATTGAATTAAATACGATATAGGAGCCTTAATCAGATAGATAGATAGATAGATAGCCAAACAACAAATAGATAGATAATGAACCGACTTAGATAGATATGAACAGACTCTGACATGAACGAACTAAGATAGATTGATAGATAGATAGCCAAACAACAAATAGATAGATAGATAATGAACCGACTTAGATAATTAACAGACTATAGAAAAAATGGAAAACTTAATAAGAGCGTCAAGGGCCAGGTAGATGTGGAGAGCTATGTACGCCCACGTTCAGAAGTTTACGATGCTATGAATATAAGTGTATTTCTTTACTTGCTTGATTCTGATGTCTCCAGTTAAAAGTCTAAAACTCACAGGATAAAGTGAAGGTGAGAGAGGCAGAGATAAACTTTGAGGAATAGGAGTAGATAGGTTCGCCCGTAGTCCGGTTCACACTCCTCCCCGGTCTTTTGATCAGGTGAAGAGGTTTATCCCTTGTTTACTGCTTAGGATTGTCTTTCCAGTTCATTCTAAAGTCTTCTAATTCTCTTTCACACCTGCGTCTTAGTGGCGTTATTAACTTACTTGATATGAAATGATAAAAAAAAACCCTGCATTCTTTAAGTTGAAATTTTGCTATAAAAGTTAGAACTTCAATCAGAAATCCAAAAGTGGATACGAATAACTGCTAAAGATGTCTTTTAGAAACTAAGCAAAGTATTAAGGGAGAGGAAAATGTCGTTTGAAACAAAGAATACAGTGCTGATCTGCAATGAAGAATCTAATAAATGATATGGCCGGAATTTCTGGACTATCAAATAGAAGAGGCTAATACATACATACATACATACTCTTATATATATATATATATATATATATATATATGAAGAAATATAGTTTTACGGTGTGCTATATTTATGGGGAAAAGTGCTCAAAGTCAGAGATAGAGCGAATCGAAATATGAATATAAAATATTAAATGAATATAGAGGCGACAGGCTGTTTCATGCTAGACGCAATCGTCAGGCCGATTGCGTCGAGTATGATACACCTTGTCGCCTCTAAGTGTTGACGTCAATCTCTAAATATATATATATATATATATATATATATATAATTAAGTACCAGAATTGTTAGAATATTTGCCATAAGGTGCTCGATGTCAAAAGGTAGGATGTAGCATTAATATAATTAATCTGGAGAAGTTTATCACTAAGCTGGAGTGGATGTTGGTTCAGTCATGCCTATTACGTAGTTTCGTGAGTACATCAAGATAACATGTTCAATATTATATATATATATATATATATATATATATATATATATATATATATATATAGAGAGAGAGAGAGAGAGAGAAAGAGAGAGAGAGAGAGATAGAGATAGATAAGAAACCGATTGAAATATACAGATATGGACATAGATATATAAGTATAACATAAAATATTCTTAGAAGCCAATTAATTGTGGACTGCAATATATCTAAACTCATTTATGGCAGTGAATTGCGAACAATTACTTCAAAGACAGATTTGTCCCACTCACAAATGCTTGGAATACCATGGACAGAGTATGTGACCGACGAGGAAGTATTAAAATAAATAAAGGGAGAATAAAGCATATGGTGCAGGAAAAACAAGGGAAAGAGAGGCACTTGTGAAAGAAAGAAAGAAAGAAAGAAAGAAAGAAAGAAAGAAAGAATGGGTCAGGCCAAAGAAAGGGAGAAGAAAGCATATGGTGCAGGAAAAACAAGGGAAAGAGAGGCACTTGTGAAAGAAAGAAAGAAAGAAAGAAAAGAAAGAAAGAAAGAAAGAAAGAAAGAATGGGACTGGCAAAAGAAAAAGAGAAGAAAGCATATGGTGCAGGAAAACAAGGGAAAGAGAGGCACTCCTTGTGAAAGAAAGAAAAAGAAAGAAAGAAAGAAAAAGAAAGAAAGAAAGAAAAAGAAAGAAAGAATGGACTGGCAAAAGAAAAGGAGAAGAAAGCATATGGTGCAGGAAAAACAAGGAAAAAAAAAAAAGAGAGGCACAGAAAAAGAAAGAAAAGAAAGAAAGAAAGAAAGAAAGAAAGAAAGAATGGGTCAGGCCAAAGAAAGGGAGAAGAAAGCATATGGTGCAGGAAAAACAAGGGAAAGAGAGGCACTTGTGAAAGAAAGAAAGAAAGAAAGAAAGAAAGAATGGGGCAGGCAAAAGAAAAGGAGAAGAAAGCATATGGTGCAGGAAAAACAAGGGAAAGAGAGGCACATGTGAAAGAAAGAAAGAAAGAAAGAAAGAAAGAAAGAAAGAAAGAAAGAAAGAAAGAAAAAATTGGGCTGGTAAAAGAAAAGGAGAAGAAAGTATACGGTGTGGGAAAACAAGGGAAAGAGAGGCACTTAGAAAGAAAGAAAGAAAGAAAGAAAAGAATGGGGGTAGGCAAAGAAAAGGAGAAGAAAGTATATGGTGTGGGGAAGAATAAGAGAAAGAGAGGCACTTGTGAAAGAAAGAAAGAAAGAAAGAAAGAATGGGACTGGCAAAAGAAAAGGAGAAGAAAGTATATGGTGTGGGGAAGAATAAGAGAAAGAGAGGCACATGAAAAAAAAAGAAAGAAAGAAAAGAATGGGACTGGCAAATGAAAAGGAGAAGAAAGCATATGGTGCGGGAAGAATAAGAGAAAGAGAGGCACATGTGAAAGAAAGCAAGAAAGAAAGAAAGAATGGGACTGGCAAAAGAAAAGGAGAAGAAAGCATATGGAGCGGGAAGAATAAGAGAAAGAGAGGCACATGTGAAAGAAAGAAAGAAAGAAAGAAAGAAAGAAAGAAAGAAAGAAAAAAGAATGGGTCAGGCCAAAGAAAGGGAGAAGAAATATGGTGCAGGAAAACAAGGGAAAGAGAGGCACTGAAAGAAAGAAAGAAAGAAAGAAAGAAAGAAAGAAAGAAAGAAAGAAAGAAAGAAAGAAAGAATGGGTCAGGCCAAAGAAAGAGAGAAGAAAGCATATGGTGCAGGAAAAACAAGGGAAAGAGAGGCACTTGTGAAAGAAAGAAAGAAAGAAAGAAAGAAATAAATAAAGAAAGAATGGGGCAGGCAAAAGAAAAGGAGAAGAAAGCATATGGTGCAGGAAAAACAAGGGAAAGAGAGGCACTTGTGAAAGAAAGAAAGAAAGAAAGAAAGAAAGAAAAAATGGGGCTGGCAAAAGAAAAGGAGAAGAAAGCATTTGGTGCGGGAAAAACAAGGGAAAGAGAGGCACTTGAGAAAGAAAGAAAGAAAGAAAGAAAGAATGGGGCAGGCAAAAGAAAAAGAGAAGAAAGCATATGGTGCGGGAAGAATAAGAGAAAGAGAGGCACATGTGAAAGAAAGAAAGAAAGAAAGAAAGAAAGAATGGGACTGGCAAAAGAAAAGGAGAAGAAAGCATATGGTGCGGGAAGAATAAGAGAAAGAGAGGCACATGTGAAAGAAAGAAAGAAAGAAAGAAAGAAAGAAAGAAAGAATGGGTCAGGCCAAAGAAAGGGAGAAGAAAGCATATGGTGCAGGAAAACAAGGGAAAGAGAGGCACATGTGAAAGAAAGAAAGAAAGAAAGAAAGAAAGAAAGAATGGGCCAAGCCAAAAGAAAGGGAGAAGAAAGCATATGAAAAAACAAGGGAAAGAGAGGCACTTCTAGAAAGAAAGAAAGAAAGAAAGAAAGAAAGAATGGGGCAGGCAAAAAAGAAAAGGGAGAAGAAAGCATATGGTGCAGGAAAAACAAGGGAAAGAGAGGCACTTAGAAAGAAAGAAAGAAAGAAAAAAGAAAGAAAGAAAAATGGGCTGGCAAAAAGAAAAGGAGAAGAAAGCATATGGTGCACGAAAAACAAGGGAAAGAGAGGCACTTGTGAAAGAAAGAAAGAAAGAAAGAAAGAATGGGGCAGGCAAAAGAAAAGGAGAAGAAAGCATATGGTGCGGGAAGAATAAGAGAAAGAGAGGCACATGTGAAAGAAAGAAAGAAAGAAAGAAAGAATGGGGCAGGAAAAAGAAAAGGAGAAGAAAGCATATGGTGCGGGAAGAATAAGAGAAAGAGAGGCACATGAAAGAAAGAAAAGAAAGAAAGAAAGAATGGGGCAGGAAAAAAGAAAAGGAGAAGAAAGTATATGGGTGCGGGAAGAAGAGAAAGAGAGGCACATGTGAAAGAAAGAAAGAAAGAAAGAAAGAAAGAAAGAAAGAATGGGTCAGGCCAAAGAAAGGGAGAAGAAAGCATATGGTGCAGGAAAAACAAGGGAAAGAGAGGCACTTGTGAAAGAAAGAAAGAAAGAAAGAAAGAAAGAAAGAAAGAAAGAAAGAAAGAAAAAGAAAGAATGGGTCAGGCCAAAGAAAGGGAGAAGAAAGCATATGGTGCAGGAAAAACAAGGGAAAGAGAGGCATCAGGAAAGAAAAGAAAGAAAGAAAGAAAGAAAGAAAGAAAGAAAGAATGGGCAAGCCAAAGAAAAGGGAGAAGAAAGCATATGGTGCAGGAAAACAAGGAAAGAGAGGCACTTAGAAAGAAAAGAAAAGAAAGAAAGAAAGAAAGAAAGAAAGAAAGAAAGAAAGAAAGAATGGGGCAGGCAAAAGAAAAGGAGAAGAAAGCATATGGTGCAGGAAAAACAAGGGAAAGAGGCACATGTGAAAGAAAGAAAGAAAGAAAGAAAGAAAGAAAGAAAGAAAAGAAAGAAAGAATGGGCCAAGCCAAAGAAAGGGAGAAGAAAAAAGTGGTGCAGGAAAACAAGGGAAAGAGAGGCACTAGAAAAGAAAGAAAGAAAGAAAGAAAGAAAGAAAGAAAGAAAGAAAAAACTGGGCAGGTAAAAGAAAAGGAGAAGAAAGCATATGGTGCAGGAAAAAACAAGGAAAGAGAGGCACTTGAAAAAGAAAGAAAGAAAGAAAGAAAGAAAGAAAGAAAAAATGGGGCTGGCAAAAGAAAAGGAGAAGAAAGCATATGGTGCGGGAAAAACAAGGGAAAGAGAGGCACTTGTGAAAGAAAGAAAGAAAGAAAGAAAGAATGGGGCAGGCAAAAGAAAAGGAGAAGAAAGCATATGGTGCGGGAAGAATAAGAGAAAGAGAGGCACTTGTGAAAGAAAGAAAGAAAGAAAGAAAGAATGGGACTGGCAAAAGAAAAGGAGAAGAAAGCATATGGTGCGGGAAGAATAAGAGAAAGAGAGGCACATGTGAAAGAAAGAAAAGAAAGAAAGAAAAGAATGGGACTGGCAAAAGAAAAAGAGAAGAAAAATATATGGTGGGAAGAATAAGAGAAAGAGAGGCATATGAAAGAAAGAAAGAAAGAAAGAAAGAAAGAAAGAATGGGACTGGCAAAAGAAAAGGAGAAGAAAGCATATGGTGCGGGAAGAATAAGAGAAAGAGAGGCACATGTGAAAGAAAGAAAGAAAGAAAGAATGGGACTGGCAAATGAAAAGGAGAAGAAAGCATATGGTGCGGGAAAAACAAGAGAAAGAGAGGCACTTGTGAAAGAAAGAAAGAAAGAAAGAAAGAAAGAAGAAAGAATGAATGGGTCAGGCCAAAAGAAAGGGAGAAGAAAGCATATGCAGGAAAAACAAGGGAAAGAGAGGCACTTGTTAAAGAAAGAAAGAAAGAAAGAAAGAAAGAAAGAAGAAAGAATGAATGGGTCAGGCCAAAGAAAGGGAGAAGAAAAGCATATGTGCAGGAAAACAAGGGAAAGAGAGGCACTCTAGAAAAGAAAGAAAGAAAGAAAAGAAAAGAAAGAAAGAAAGAATGGGTCAGGCCAAAGAAAAGGGAGAAGAAAAGCATATGGCAGGAAAAAACAAGGGAAAGAGAGGCACTAGAAAAGAAAGAAAGAAAGAAAGAAAGAAAGAAAGAATGGGGGCAGGTAAAAGAAAAAGGAGAAGAAAGCATATGGTGCTGGAAAAAACAAGGAAAGAGAGGTAACTTGTAAAAGAAAAGAAAAGAAAGAAAGAAAGAAAGAAAGAAAGAAAGAAAGAAAGAAAGAATGGGGCAGGCAAAAGAAAAGGAGAAGAAAGTATATGGTAAAAGGCAGGAAAACAAGTGTAAGAGAGGCACTTAGAAAGAAAGAAAGAAAGAAAGAAAGAAAGAAAGAAAGAATGAGGCAGGCAAAAGAAAAGGGAGAAGAAAGTATATGGTGCAGGAAAAAAACAAGGGAAAGAGAGGCACTTTAGAAAGAAAGAAAGAAAGAAAAGAAAGAAAAGAAAGAAAGAATGAGGCAGGCAAAAAAGAAAAGGAGAAGAAAGATATGGTGCAGGAAAAACAAGGGAAAGAGAGGCACTCTAGAAAGAAAGAAAGAAAGAAAAAAGAAAGAAAGAAAAAGAATGGGGCTGGCAAAAGAAAAGGAGAAGAAAGTATATGGTGCAGGAAAAAAACAAGGGAAAGAGAGGCACTTAGAAAGAAAAGAAAGAAAGAAAGAAAGAAAAGAAAGAAAGAATGAAAGAAAGAAAGAATGGGGCAGGCAAAAGAAAAGGAGAAGAAAGCATATGGTGCAGGAAAAACAAGAGAAAGAGAGGCACTTGTGAAAGAAAGAAAGAAAGAAAGAAAGAAAGAAAGAAGAAAGAAAGAATGGGTCAGGCCAAAGAAAGGGAGAAGAAAGCATATGGTGCAGGAAAAACAAGGGAAAGAGAGGCACTTGTGAAAGAAAGAAAGAAAGAAAGAAAGAAAGAAAGAAAGAAAGAATGGGTCAGGCCAAAGAAAGGGAGAAGAAAGCATATGGTGCAGGAAAAACAAGGGAAAGAGAGGCACTTAGAAAGAAAGAAAGAAAGAAAGAAAGAAAGAAAGAAAGAAAGAAAGAAAGAAAGAATGGGCAGGCAAAAGAAAAGGAGAAGAAAGCATATGGTGCAGGAAAAAAAGGGAAAGAGAGGCACTTAGAAAGAAAGAAAGAAAGAAAGAAAGAAAGAAAGAAAGAAAGAAAGAATGGGGTAGGTAAAAGAAAAAAAGAAGAAAGCATATGGTGCAGGAAAAACAAGAGAAAGAGAGGCATTTGTGAAAGAAAGAAATAAAGAAAGAAAGAAAGAAAGAAGAAAGAAAGAATGGGTCAGGCCAAAGAAAGGGAGAAGAAAGCATATGGTGCAGGAAAAAGAAGAGAAAGAGAGGCACTTGTGAAAGAAAGAAAGAAAGAAAAAAGAAAGAAAGAAAGAAAGAAGAAAGAAAGAATGGGTCAGGCCAAAGAAAGGGAGAAGAAAGCATATGGTGCAGGAAAAAAAAGGGAAAGGGAGGCACTTGTGAAAGAAAGAAAGGAAGAAAGAAAGAAAGAAAGAAAGAAAGAATGGGTAAGGCCAAAGAAAGGGAGAAGAAAGCATATGCAGGAAAACAAGGAAAGAGAGGCACTAGAAAGAAAGAAAGAAAGAAAGAAAGAATGGGGAAGGCAAAAGAAAAGGAGAAGAAAGCATATGATGCAGGAAAAACAAGGGAAAGAGAGGTACTCTAGAAAGAAAGAAAGAAAGAAAGAAAGAAAGAAAGAAAGAAAGAATGAAAGAAGAAAGAAAGAATGGGTCAGGCCAAAGAAAGGGAGAAGAAAATGGTGCAGGGAAAACAAGGGAAAAGAGAGGCACTTTGAAAGAAAGAAAGAAAGAAAGAAAGAAAGAAAAGAAAGAAAGAAAAAGAAAGAATGGGTCAGGCCAAAGAAAGGGAGAAGAAAGCATATGGTGCAGGAAAAACAAGGGAAAGAGAGGCACTTGTGAAAGAAAGAAAGAAAGAAAGAAAGAATGGGGCAGGTAAAAGAAAAGGAGAAGAAAGCATATGGTGCAGGAAAAACAAGGGAAAGAGAGGCACTTGTGAAAGAAAGAAAGAAAGAAAGAAAGAAAGAAAGAAAGAAAGAAAGAATGGGGCAGGCAAAAGAAAAGGAGAAGAAAGCATATAGTGCAGGAAAAACAAGTGTAAGAGAGGCACTTGCGAAAGAAAGAAAGAAAGAAAGAAAGGAAGAAGAAAGAAAGAATGGGTCAGGCCAAAGAAAGGGAGAAGAAAGCATATGGTGCAGGAAAAACAAGGGAAAGAGAGGCACTTAGAAAGAAAGAAAAAAGAAAGAAAGAAAGAAAGAAAGAAAGAAAGAATGGGACTGGCAAAAGAAAAGGAGAAGAAAGCATATGTAGGAAAACAAGGAAAAGAGAGGCAAAGAGTGAAAGAAAAGAAAGAAAGAAAGAAAGAAAGAAAGAAAGAAAAGAATGAATGAGGCAAAAGAAAAGGAGAAGAAAGCATATGGCAGGAAAAAACAAGGGAAAGAGAGGCACTTAGAAAGAAAGAAAGAAAGAAAGAAAGAAAGAAAGAAAGAAAGAAAGAATGGGCTGGCAAAAAGAAAAAGGAGAAGAAAGCATATGGTGCAGGAAAAACAAGGAAAGAGAGGCACTTCAGAAAGAAAGAAAGAAAGAAAGAAAGAAAGAAAGAAAGAATGGGGCAGGTAAAAAGAAAAAGGAGAAGAAAGTATATGTGCAGGAAAAAACAAGAGAAAGAGAGGCACTTAGAAAGAAAGAAAGAAAGAAAGAAAGAAAGAAAGAAAGGAAGAAAGAAGAAAGAAAGAATGGGTCAGGCCAAAGAAAGGGAGAAGAAAGCATATGGTGCAGGAAAAAAACAAGGGGAAAGGAGGCACTTGTGAAAGAAAAGAAAGAAAGAAAGAAAGAAAGAAAGAAAGAAAGAAAGAATGGGTCAGGCCAAAGAAAGGAGAAGAAAGCATATGGTGCAGGAAAACAAGGGAAAGAGAGGCACTTAGAAAGAAAGAAAGAAAGAAAGAAAGAAAGAAAGAAAGAATGGGTCCGGCCAAAGAAAGGGAGAAGAAAGCATATGGTGCAGGAAAAACAAGGGAAAGAGAGGCATTTGAAAGAAAGAAAGAAAGAAAGAAAGAAAGAAAGAAAGAAAGAATGGGGCAGGCAAAAGAAAGGGAGAAGAAAGCATATTGTGCAGGAAAAACAAGGGAAAGAGAGGCACTTGTGAAAGAAAGAAAGAAAGAAAGAAAGAAAGAAAGAAAGAAAGAATGAAAGAAAGAAAGAAAGAAAGAAAGAATGGGACGGGAAAAAGAAAGGGAGAAGAAAGCATATGGTGCGGGAAGAATAAGAGAAAGTGAGGCACATGTGAAAGAAAGAAAGAAAGAAAGAAAGAAAGAAAGAAAGAATGGGACTGGCAAAAGAAAAGGAGAAGAAAGCATATGGTGCAGGAAAAACAAGGGAAAGAGAGGCACTTGTGAAAGAAAAAAAGAAAGAAGAAAGAAAGAAAGAAAGAAAGAAAGAAAAAAGAAGGAAAGAATGGGACTGGCAAAAGAAAAGGAGAAGAAAGCATATGGTGCAGGAAAAACAAGGGAAAGAGAGGCACTTGTGAAAGAAAGAAAGAAAGAAAGAAAGAAAGAAAGAAAGAATGGGTCCGGCCAAAGAAAGGGAGAAGAAAGCATATGGTGCAGGAAAAACAAGGGAAAGAGAGGCATTTGTGAAAGAAAGAAAGAAAGAAAGAAAGAAAGAAAGAAAGAAAGAAAGAATGGGGCAGGCAAAAGAAAGGGAGAAGAAAGCATATTGTGCAGAAAAAACAAGGGAAAGAGAGGCACTTAGAAAGAAAGAAAGAAAGAAAGAAAGAAAGAAAGAAAGAAAGAATGAAAGAAAGAAAGAAAGAAAGAAAGAATGGGACGGGAAAAAGAAAGGGAGAAGAAAGCATATGGTGCGGGAAGAATAAGAGAAAGTGAGGCACATGTGAAAGAAAGAAAGAAAGAAAGAAAGAAAGAAAGAAAGAATGGGACTGGCAAAAGAAAAGGAGAAGAAAGCATATGGTGCAGGAAAAACAAGGGAAAGAGAGGCACTTGTGAAAGAAAGAAAGAAAGAAAGAAAGAAAGAAAGAAAGAAAGAAAGAATGGGACTGGCAAAAGAAAAGGAGAAGAAAGCATATGGTGCGGGAAGAATAAGAGAAAGAGAGGCACATGTGAAAGAAAGAAAGAAAGAAAGAAAGAATGGGACTGGCAAAAGAAAAAGAGAAGAAAGCATGGGTGGGAAGAATAAGAGAAAGAGAGGCACATGTGAAAGAAAGAAAGAAAGAAAGAAAGAAAGAACGGGACTGGCAAAAGAAAAGGAGAAGAAAGCATATGGTGCGGGAAGAATAAGAGAAAGAGAGGCACATGTGAAAGAAAGAAAGAAAGAATGGGACTGGCAAAAGAAAAGGAGAAGAAAGCATATGGTGCGGGAAAAACAAGAGAAAGAGAGGCACTTGTGAAAGAAAGAAAGAAAGAAAGAAAGAAAGAAGAAAGAATGAATGGGTCAGGCCAAAGAAAGGGAGAAGAAAGCATATGGTGCAGGAAAAACAAGGGAAAGAGAGGCACTTGTTAAAGAAAGAAAGAAAGAAAGAAAGAAAGAAAGAAAGAAAGAAGAAAGAATGAATGGGTCAGGCCAAAGAAAGGGAGAAGAAAGCATATGGTGCAGGAAAAACAAGGGAAAGAGAGGCACTTGTGAAAGAAAGAAAGAAAGAAAGAAAGAAAGAAAGAAAGAAAGAAAGAATGGGGCAGGCAAAAGAAAAGGAGAAGAAAGCATATGGTGCAGGAAAAACAAGGGAAAGAGAGGCACTTGTGAAAGAAAGAAAGAAAGAAAGAAAGAAAGAAAGAAAGAATGGGTCAAGCCAAAGAAAGGGAGAAGAAAGCATATGGTGCAGGAAAAACAAGGGAAAGAGAGGCACTTGTGAAAGAAAGAAAGAAAGAAAGAAAGAAAGAAAGAAAGAAAGAAAGAATGGGGCAGGCAAAAGAAAAGGGAGAAGAAAGTATATTGAGGCAGGAAAAACAAGGAAAGAGAGGCACTTAGAAAGAAAGAAAGAAAGAAAGAAAGAAAGAAAGAAAGAAAGAATGAAAGAAAGAAAAGAAAGAAAGAAAAATGGGAGAAAAAAGAAAGGAAAGTATATGGTGCGGGAAAAACAAGAAAGAGAGGCACATGTGAAAGAAAGAAAGAAAGAAAGAAAGAAAGAAAGAAAGAAAGAATGAGGCAGGCAAAAAGAAAAGGAGAAGAAAGCATATGGGTGCAGGAAAAAAACAAGGGAAAGAGAGGTACTAGAAAAGAAAGAAAGAAAGAAAGAAAGAAAGAAAGAAAGAAAGAATGGGACTGGCAAAAGAAAAGGAGAAGAAAGCATATGGCAGGGAAGAACAAAGGAAAAGAGAGGCACATGTAGAAAGAAAGAAAGAAAGAAAGGGAAAGACAAAAAGGCAAAAGAAAAGGAGAAGAAAGCATATGGTGCGGGAAGAATAAGAGAAAGAGAGGCACATGAAAGAAAAAGAAAGAAAGAAAGAAAGAAAAAAGAATGGGACTGGTAAAAGAAAAAAGAAAGAAGAAAGGAAAACAAGGAAAAGGGAAGAATAAGAGAAAGAAAGGCAGAAAGAAAGAAAGAAAGCAAAAAAGAATGGGACAGGGTAAAAAGAAAGGGGAGAAGAAAGCATATGGTGCAGGAAAAACAAGGGAAAGAGAGGCACTTGTGAAAGAAAGAAAGAAAGAAAGAAAGAAAGAAAGAAAGAATGGGGCAGGCAAAAGAAAAGGAGAAGAAAGCATATGGTGCAGGAAAAACAAGAGAAAGAGAGGCACTTGTGAAAGAAAGAAAAGAAAGAAAGAAAGAAAGAAGAAAGAAAGAATGGGTCAGGCCAAAGAAAGGGAGAAGAAAGTATATGGTGGGAAAAACAAGGAAAGAGAGGCACTTAGAAAGAAAAAGAAAGAAAGAAAGAAAGAAAGAAAGAAAGAAAAGAAGAAAGAAAGAAGATCCAGCCAAAAGAAAGGGAGAAGAAAGCATATGGTGCAGGAAAAAAAGGGAAAGGGAGGCACTTATTAGAAAGAAAGAAAGAAAGAAAGAAAGAAAGAAAGAAAGAAAGAAAGAAAGAATGGGTAAGGCCAAAGAAAGGGAGAAGAAAGCATATGCAGGAAAAACAAGGAAAGAGAGGCACTTGTGAAAGAAAGAAAGAAAAGAAAGAAAGAAAAGAATGGGGAAGGCAAAAGAAAAGGAGAAGAAAGCATATATGGTGCTGGAAAAACAAGGGAAAGAGAGGCACTTAGAAAGAAAAAGAAAGAAAGAAAGAAAGAAAGAAAGAAAGAAAGAAAAAGAAAGGAATGGGCAAAAGAAAGGGAGAAGAAAGCATATGGTGCAGGAAAAAATAAGGGAAAAAGAGAGGCACTTAGAAAGAAAGAAAGAAAGAAAGAAAGAAAGAAAGAAAGAAAGAAAAAGAATGAGGAAGGCAAAAAGAAAGGGGAGAAGAAAGCATGGTGCAGGAAAAACAAGGGAGGCAGAGAAGGAAAGAAAGAAAGAAAGAAAAGAAAGAAAGAAAGAAAGAAAGAAAGAAAGAATGGGGCAAGGCAAAAAGAAAGGGAGAAGAAAGCATATGGTGCAGGAAAACAAGGAAAGAGAGGCACTAGAAAGAAAAAAGAAAGAAAGAAAGAAAGAAAGAAAAGAAAAAGAAAAATGGGCTGGCAAAAGAAAAGGGAGAAGAAAGCATATGGTGCGGGAAAACAAGGGAAAGAGAGCACTTGTGAAAGAAAGAAAGAAAGAAAGAAAGAAAGTAAAAGAAAGAAAGAAAGAATGGGGCAGCCAGAAAAGAAAAGGAGGAAGAAAGCATATGGCAGAAAAAAGAAAGAAAACAAGAGAAACTGGCAAAAGAAAAAGAAAGATAGAAAGAAAGAAAGAGAGGCAAAGAAAAGAAAGAAAAGAAAGAAAGGGTCAGGCCAAAGAAAAGGAGAAGAAAGCATATGGGCAGGAAAAACAAGGGAAAGAGAGGCACTTGTGAAAGAAAGAAAGAAAGAAAGAAAGAAAGAAAGAAAGAAAAGAATGGGTCAGGCCAAAGAAAGGGAGAAGAAAGATATGGCAGGAAAAACAAGGGAAAGAGAGGCACTTGCAGAAAGAAAGAAAGAAAGAAAGAAAGAAAGAAAGAAAGAAAGAAAGAATGGGGGCAGGCAAAAGAAAAGGAGAAGAAAGCATATGGTGCAGGAAAAAACAAGAGAAAGAGAGGCACTTGTGAAAGAAAAAAGAAAGAAATAAAGAAAGAAAGAAAGAAAGGGAAAGAATGGGTGAAAAAGAAAGGAGAAGAAAGCATATGGTGCAGGAAAAAGGGGAAGAGAAAGAGAGGCAGGAAGAAAGAAAGAAAGAAAGAAAAAAGAAAAAAGAAAGAAAGAAAGAAAGAAAGAAAGAATGGGCAGGGCCAAAGAAAGGGGGAGAAGAAAGAGAATATGGTGCAGGAAAAAAAGGGAAAGGAGGCACTTAGAAAGAAAGAAAGAAAGAAAGAAAAGAAAGAAGAAAGAAAGAATGGTCAGGCCAAAGAAAGGGAGAAGAAAGCATAAGTGGTGCAGGAAAACAAGGGAAAGAGAGGTACTTGAAAAAAGAAAGAAAGAAAAGAAAGAAAGAAAGAAAAAGAAAGAATGGGAAGGCAAAAGAAAAGGAGAAGAAAGCATATGATGCAGGAAAAACAAGGGAAAGAGAGGCACTTGTGAAAGAAAGAAAGAAAGAAAGAAAGAAAGAAAGAAAGAAAGAAAGAATGAAAGGCAAAAGAAAAGAGAAGAAAGAATGGGAAAGGCAAAAGAAAAGAGGGAGAAAGAAAGAATGGTGCAGGAAAAAAAAAAGGGAAAGAAGAGGCACTGGGGTGAAAAGAAAAGAGAAGAAAAGAAAAAAAGAAAAGAAAGAAAGAAAGAAAGAAAGAAAGAAAGAAAAAAAGAATGGGCCAGGCCAAAGAAAAGGGAGAAGAAAGCATATGGTGCAGGAAAAAACAAGGAAAAGAGGCATTTATAGAAAGAAAGAAAGAAAAAAGAAAAGAAAGAAAGAAAGAAAAGAAAGAAAGAAAGAAAAGCCAAAGAAAGGGGGAGAAGAAAGCATATGGTGCAGGGAAAACAAGGGAAAGAGAGGCAGAAAGAAAGAAAGAAAGAAAGAAAGAAAAGAAAGAAAGAAAGAAAGAAAGAAAGAATGGGTCTGGCAAAAAAGAAAAGGAGAAGAAAGCATATGGTGAAAAAAACAAGGAAAGAGAGGCATTTAGAAAGAAAGAAAAAAGAAAGAAAGAAAGAAAGAATGGGGCAGGAAAAAGAAAGGGGAGAAGAAAGCATATGGTGCAGGGAAAATAAGAGAAAGAGAGGCACTTGTGAAAGAAAGAAAGAAAGAAAGAAAGAAAAGAAAGAAAGAAAGAAAGAATGAAAGGAAAGAAAGAAAGAAAAGGGAAAAGAAAGGAAAGCATATGGTGTGGGAAGAATAAGAGAAAGAGAGGCACATGTGAAAGAAAGAAAGAAAAAAGAAAGAAAGAAAGAATGGGACTGGCAAAAGAAAAAAGGAGAAGAAAGCATATGGTGCAGGAAAATAAGAGAAAGAGAGGCCTTATGAAAGAAAAAAAGAAAGAAGAAAGAAAGAAAGAAAGAAAGAAAAAAAAAGAAGGGAAAGAATGGGACTGGCAAAAGAAAAGGAGAAGAAAGCATATGGTGCAGAAAAAAATAAGAGAAAGAGAGGCACTTGTGAAAGAAAGAAAGAAAGAAAAAAAGAAAGAAAGAATGGGTCTGGCCAAAGAAAAGGAGAAGAAAGCATATGGTGCAGGAAAACAAGGAAAGAGAGGCATTTGAAAGAAAGAAAGAAAGAAAGAAAGAAAGAAAGAAAGAAAGAAGAAAGAATGAATGGGGCAGGCAAAAAGAAAGGAGAAGAAAGTATATTGGTGCAGGAAAACAAGGGAAAGAGAGGCACTTAGAAAGAAAGAAAGAAAGAAAGAAAGAAAGAAAGAAAGAATGGGTCAGGAAAAGAAAGAATGGGAGAAAAGAAAAGAAGATGGCATATGGTGCAGGAAAAATAAGAGAAAGAGAGGCACATGTGAAAAAGAAAGAAAGAAAGAAAAGAAAGAAAGAAAGGGAATGGGGGAAAAAAGAAAAGGAGAAGAAAGTATGGTGCAGGGAAAAAAAACAAGAAGAGAGGCACTTGTGAAAGAAAGAAAGAAAGAAAGAAAAGAAAAGAAAGAAAGAATGGGGCAGGCCAAAGAAAAGGGAGAAGAAAGCATATGGTGCAGGAAAAACAAGGGAAAGAGAGGCACTTAGAAAGAAAGAAAGAAAGAAAGAAAGAAAGAAAGGAAGAAAGAAAGAAAGAATGGGACTGGCAAAAAAAAAGGAGAAGAAAGCAGTGGTGCAGGAAAACAAGGGAAAGAGAGGCACTAGAAAGAAAAAAAAAAGAAAGAAAGAAAGAAAGAAAAAAAAGAAAGAAAGAAAGAATGGGACTGGCAAAAGAAAAGGAGAAGAAAGCATATGGGTGCAGGGAAAAACAAGGGAAAGAGAGGCAAGAAAGAAAGAAAGAAAGAAAGAAAGAAAGAAAGAAAAGAAAGAAAGAATGAAGGCAGGCAAAAGAAAAGGAGAAGAAAGCATATGGTGCAGGGAAAAAACAAGGGAAAGAGAGGCACTTGGAAAGAAAGAAAGAAAGAAAGAAAGAAAAAAGAAAGAAAGAATGGGCAGGCAAAAGAAAAAGGAGAAGAAAGCATATGGTGCAGGAAAAAAGAAAGAAAGAAGGAAAGAAAAGAAAGAAAAAAGAAAGAAAGAAAGAAAGAAAGAAAGAAAGGGGAAAGAAAATATGGGGCAGGGAAAAAAAAAGAAAAGAGAGAAGAAAGAAAGAAAAGAAAACAGCAGAAAAGAGAAAGAGAGAGGAAACTTGGAAAAAGAAAGAAAGAAAGAAAGAAAGAAAGAAAAGAAAAGAAAGAAAAGAAAAAGAAAGAATGGGCGAGGCCAAAAGAAAGGGAGAAGAAAGTATATGGTGCAGGGAAAACAAGGGAAAGAGAGGCACTTGTAGAAAGAAAGAAAGAAAGAAAGAAAGAAAGAAAGAAAGAAAGAAAGAAAAAAAAAAGAATGAAAGAAAGAAAGAAAGAAAGAAAGAATGGGACAGGAAAAAAAAAGGGAGAAGAAAGATGGTGCGGGAAGAATAAGAAAAGAAGGCATGTGAAAGAAAGAAAGAAAGAAAAGAAAGAAAGAAAGAATGGGACAGCAAAAAGAAAAGGAGAAGAAAGCATATGGTGCAGGAAAAACAAGGGAAAGAGAGGCAGAAGAAAGAAAAAAAAAAAAAGAAAGAAAGAAAGAAAGAAAGAAAGAAAAAGAAGGAAAGAATGGGACTGGCAAAAAGAAAAGGAAAGAAAGCATATGGCAGGAAAAAAAGGAAAGAAAAGAAAGAAAAGAAAGAAAGAAAGAAAGAAAGAAAGAAAAAAAATGGGAGCCAAAGAAAAGGAGAAGAAGGAAGTGCAGGGAAAATAAAGGAAAGAGAGGCATTGAAAAGAAAGAAAAGAAAGAAAGAAAGAAAAGAAAGAAAGAAAAGAAAGAAAGAAGAAAGCAGGCAAAAGAAAGGGAGAAGAAAGCATATTGTGAAAAGAGGAAAAACAAGGGAAAGAGAGGCACTTGTGAAAGCAAAAGAAAGAAAGAAAGAAAGAAAGAAAGAAAGAAAAGAAAGAAAAAAAGAAAAAAGAAAGAATGGGACGGGAAAAAAGAAAAGGAGAAGAAAGCATATGGTGCAGGAAGAATAAGAGAAAGTGAGGCACTTGAAAGAAAGAAAGAAAGAAAGAAAGAAAGAAAGAAAAAGAATGGGACTGGTAAAAAGAAAAGGAGAAGAAAAAATATGGTGCAGGAAAAAACAAGGGAAAGAGAGGCACTTAATGAAAGAAAAAAAAAAAAGAAAGAAAGAAAGAAAGAAAGAAAGAAAAAAGAAGGAAAGAATGGGACTGGCAAAAGAAAAGAAAGATATAGCAGGAAAAACAAGGAAAGAAAACAAAGAAAGAAAGAAAGAAAGAAAAAGAAAGAAAGAAAGAAAGA